ATGTTTTATCACTTATGTTTAATATAGAAATTTGTATATAACCGATTTAATTCTAACATTAGTATTAGAAATATATACAAAAATGTTACACATCTCATATTCTAACTCTGAATTATATACATAATTTATTATGTGATAAATTGTATAAAGTTATATTATAATTGACATAGAACTATATAGTTTATGATGACAAAAAAAAGATGACAAAAAGAACTATATAGTTTACATATATGAATTTATAGGATATACATTTTATAATATGATTAATTGTATAAAATCATATTTAAGTACAAAGTTGATAAAATGTATAAAAAGTTATACTAACTTTCATAATAAAATATTGTTGTATAACACGAGAATGTAAGTAAGAAAAATACGAGAAGAAAATTTTTGTAAAACACGAGAATGTAAGTAAGAAAAATACTTCGAGTGTTAGCCTTTCTCTGAACAACGTGTTCATGTTTCTAGAGACAGGGTAATGTAGAAGATATGTATTATACCTCATGAAAGACTGCAGAGACTAAGAAAGCAATGATAATGGCCGGTACCTGGAACAAAAATGAGTGCAGGGTTGAAGTAATGAAGCAGATCACTGATATATATATTAACAAGCTGCAATATATGTATATATATATCACTCACTTTTGGTATATTCCTGCGCAGGCATGGAAAATATACATGGCGAACCATCCATTTATGAACAGGCTGTTAGAAAATAAACAAGATCTCAATAAGCTTTCTTCTTCTGTTTTCTATAAAAAGAAGGGGATGTTTCAGGAAGAGAACCATACCATATTCCACATTCTCCAATACTGACAAAGGAAGACAGTGAGTACATGAATTATGGTTAGTCACATAAACATCATATGCTTTTTGAGTAAGACAAGATTAACGCAAAACTCACATCTCCCACGCTTTTTGCATTCCACCAATCTTTGTAGAATTCACGATCCCCAAAGCAGAGGAGCTCTGCCAATATGTTTAACCTATGGACGAGAAGAATGCAAAGAGATTCGTGGTCAGAAACTGACATTACATCTCAGACTCTGAGAAAGTAAAACTATCAAATTCTTGATGAGATATCCTTTTCTTTGGTGTTCGTCAAGGAGAATCATGTTAAAGAGAAGGGGATCGCAGCATTACCAAAGGTGGAAGAAGCAGTAGAACATGCAGAGCCACACGTACAAATTTGGAACTGAAAGCTTCAACATTCTTTCAATACCGTATAAGAGATCCCCTTTCAAAGGATGTTTTGAGTTCCTAACAATAGGATTTATATACTGCAACAAAGTAAGTACCAAAAGAAGATGAGATCAAGCGGGCAAAAATGCAGAGATGATAATTTTCACAAGGAAAAGGTTAAAAAGAAAGGGGATGAAAACTCACTTGCTCTATTATAAATCCCATGAATCCAGTGAATATGATCAGCTTTGCAAATTGACGAGCCACCCAACCCTTCCGTATACATGGAGAACGTGGATAGCTCGGCTGGATAAAGCAAAGATGCAAGGTTTAACACAAGAAAATTTTGCTAGTGAAAAATAGTGTGGCTCTACAACAACAACATAAAAACATCATCTATTACTTCTAAACTATGCTGCTAGATGAGCATAGTACACAGGTGGCACTACAACAACAACATAAAAACTCATTACTAATCTCTCTCTATATAAAAGAAAAAAACACTTTACCATTTTAAATCAAATAAAGAGAGAAGAAACTCACCAATGGATACAGAACGAGTGCATCTCGCATACCTACATACCTCAAACAAGTAGAGTTTATAACAAGTTAGCGTTTCTATGAGTCTACTACATGATCTGTTTACTGAAAAAAGAGCTGATGAATCTTACGTGTAGCATAAGTTATTGGTCAGAGACTGGAGTCCATCTGCAGAGCAGTTGTTCTCATCCCAAAGCACGTGGTAATGAGCAGGTCGAGAAGTTCCCTGTTCATCAAATTTTGATTTTCTAAGCACTTAACTAAACTCTAATCCACACACAATCATATGTTATATTGTAACTATTTTTTCTTGTATATACAGATTTACCTGAATGCCAGCATGGCTACAGAGATAAAAGTCGAATTCACGAGGGTGACAGATACTGGTATCCACCACAGTGCCTACAGAGATAACAAATAACCAAAGTGTTTTAAACCAATCCAATGTATTTGTAGCTAATTTAGTTAAACGTGCTCTTTCCTTTACATCACTTCACTCGCCTGGTAATATGTTTCCACTTCTATTAACGGAATTACGATCATTGTGGTTGTGAGCAAACAGCCTCGTGTGATGGCGCTTCTGCACCACCACAAACGTCACTGGTGGCTGATAGCCTTCTTCCAGCGAAGCACATGCCTGAAATGGTTGCAGTTAGAATCACATTTAAACATAAGACAACTACAACTCAACCCAACCCAAGTCATTCGTTAGATGCAAGTCTTACCTTGCGGATGGCATCGAGCTCATAGAGCAAAACCTGATGAAACTGTCCTTCACTAACTCCATCCCTGTGGCGTATTACCATACATTAATATACATCATTTGAGAAAAAGATACACAGTTTTAATAGCAAAGTGTGCGCCAAATGAATAGATTTATACCTGTAGAATATGATCCTTAAGGGCTTATGACCAGTTGATCTATGGAAGGCTTTAAGCAGCTCGCTGTTGCAAAGTAAAGAACAAAAATGCAAAGATATGTTAAAACAAAAACGAATTCGGAGTAGAGATCGAACTATGGAGGTACGTACTTAATCATGCCACCACTAGTCACCACCCCTGTCTGAGGATCCTTCCATTCTTTAAACAGATCCTGAATGATCTCCTGTCTAGGCGCTTGAGCACAAACACGTCCCGCATATTTAGTAATTCAAGGCCAGTCTTGGGATGCGACGACCTGAAAAAACAAATAACAAAATTTTGTTGTGAATAAGATTAGGCACATCAGGCCAAGGCCATGCAGAGAAACAAAAACATGCTTCTCAGAACTACGTGTTGAAGGAGAAACTTACAGCAGCAATTGACGGGCTTGAATCCTCTCCAGGATGAGGATGGGTTACATCAGCACCAAAGATTATGTTGGGGCGATCACTGACCAGAGGGATTTTCATTGATAAGGCATCAACAAGCACTGTGTTCCTTCCTCCAACTTTGACATTAATTTTCAAAGCCACGTTAGGGTAATACTGTGTATTCGTGTTAAATACATTCTTGGTCAGGCAGCACTGAGATACAATGCCGAGTTCGGTCTCACAGATGCGCTTCAGATCACCTGCAATGGATATTTGGACAGGAAACAACGATTAGAAAACCTGTTTATATGTAAAAGCGGACAATGATGGGTAGCTGATACCATATAACGATCCATTATTGTCTGGTAGAATGACAATAAGGAGATCAATCTCTTTTCCTTTAGAGACCTTGGCCATGGCATCATGATATAGAGTTTTCAAGTCTTTTTCTACTTGCTGAGGGCGAGCACTAAATGATGGGAGGACTGGTTCTCGATTAAATTCCTTAAGGTACGAAATAATTCAAACATCAAGGTGCATCGTATATACAGACTTTTTCTAAAATAAGAAGAAAATATATATCATGAATTTTATCTAAAATCAGGAATTTTTTTGTAAAATAACTCAAACTTTTTCCTTAAGGTACCAAAACTTGTGTTCGGTCTACAGACATTAGGACATCGTATATATATTGTCAAGCTTTCCTAATGGTATGAGATTGACATATTTGGCATTGAATTTCCAACTTCTCACGCAAGTTATCGAATATAAGGTAAGGAAAGTAAATAACCTATACATTAAATTTTAGAGATACGATTCTCATATATAAATCGTNGGTCTACAGACATTAGGACATCGTATATATATTGTCAAGCTTTCCTAATGGTATGAGATTGACATATTTGGCATTGAATTTCCAACTTCTCACGCAAGTTATCGAATATAAGGTAAGGAAAGTAAATAACCTATACATTAAATTTTAGAGATACGATTCTCATATATAAATCGTAACACTTGCACGCCAAACAAAAAAATAAATAAATAAAAAATTAAAATATATATTTAATTACTTTCCTAATGGTATGAGATTGACATCTTTGGCATTTAATTTCCAACTTGTTTCGCAAGTTATCGAATATAATGTAAGGCAAGTAATTAACGTAACCAAATATTTGAGATACGATTTATCGAATATAATATAAGGCAAGTAATTAACGTAACCAAATATTTGTGATACGATTTATCGAATATAATATAAGGCAAGTAATTAACGTAACCAAATATTTGAGATACGATTCTCATACCATTTGCACGGCGAAAAAAAAAAAATATATAAACGAAAATTGAAATAAATCAACCAATCAGATTCTCAGAATTTCTCTGAGAAGGCATGTATGAGTGACACGTGTCCAAGTGACTTCTCTTTTAATGTATAGGAGGATTTGTCCTCCCAACATATTATATATTTTTAACATTAATATATATTTTTATAAAAATAAAATTGATTAATTTATCAATTTAATATAATTATATAACATTTACTTTGATAGAATAATTTTCATTTAAGATGATAGATTATGATTATAAATAGATAAAAAGAATATTTTTCATTTTATAGAAGATAATTGAATATATATATATATATATATATATATATATATATTAATGTGTAATTATATTTTATTACTAATTCGAAATTACTAAAATGTTTATACAATGTTTTTAAAGTTAAGATCTTGCTAAAATATTTTCAACAGATTTGTTAAAAATAATTAATATATATTTATATTTAAAATAAAAAGATATCAAAAGATATTATGATTAAAGTGGTTACAAATAAATAAAATATATTTAATAAGATTTCTTAATAATGGTTCAAATAAAATATATCACACATGAAGTGAGTCATGACTTTCTCTTTTTAATATAATAGATATTAGTGTATCTTGTTTAAAGTGTGTGTTATTAAATTATATTATAAATTTTGTGATTGAAATTATAATTTAAAATTAGATTTTATAGATATTTTTGTAAATAAATTACTTAGACAGCAACAATTAAAAAAGATTCACACAAAAATAAGAACTCTAGCATTTTTATTAACAAATATCATTTTTAAATTGAATTAGACGATTTGGTTTTGGGCGATTTGGTTTTAATTTGAAATTAGTGGACTTTAAACCTATATTGAAGCTCATATAAGAGAAAAACTATATTGTTTTAATTGCATTGGAATTCTATTGTAATTTTTGAGGATATTTAAGGGTTATTTCTTTTTTTGTATTTTCCCTTTAATAGTTTAGATGTTTTTAAATTATACTATAAATTTTCTGATTCAAAATATAATTTCAAATTAGATTTCATAGATACTTTTTACAAAGAAATTATTTAGACAGCAACAATTAAAAAAGATAAAATAAGAATTCTAACAATTTTATTAACAAATACCATTTTTTAAATTGAATTAGGCGAATTGGTTTTGGGAAATTTGGTTTTGATTTAAAATTAGTGGAATTTAAACCTATATTGAAGTCTATATAAGAGCAAAACTACAGTGTTTTAATTGCAGTGGTATTCTATTGCAATTTTTTAGAAAATTTAAGGGTTATTTTTTTTTGTACTTCCCCTTTAGTAGTTTAAATTTCTTTTTTTTTGTACTTCTCCTTTAATAGTTTAGATGAGGTATTGATATCACTCAAATTACCCTAAGGAGTGAATTACTCTCTCAAATAAGAGGTTTAGTTGTAGTACTTAGAGATCGAATCCACAGAGACTCCAGGATACACAATAGATTATAGTATTTAAAATAAAACTAGACTGGAAATAGGTTTAATAGTTAAAACAGTAATTAAATGGGGTGAGCAAGGTAGTTGCTCGGATGATTGATTTGAGGTTGTTAACAAGTCGGAAGATAGCTAGATTTAGGTAAATTCTCAGGTATGATAAGTATGCAATTTATAGTAATAAAGAGTTTATGAATATCAATTGTTCTCGAACTCAAACTTATTAGGTTATAATCTATCAACTTTTGAATGCTTAGATTATCTGATGCTTAGACTTAGGAATCCAACTTTTGTATGTGAATCCTAAGGGAGTATTGATCGATGTCCCCTCTGGATTGTCGATCAATGTCTGGTATTGACTATCAATCGATGTGTCCTATGGAGTGTCGATCGATACTAATTCTAGCAAGCTGTAGCGAATGGGTTTGATGTGTTCTCTAATCACCTAGATCAACTTTTATATGCACCTAGCTAATCAAATCATATTAGTCTTATTCATGAAATATGCCAAGCTCTCACTTGTACCAATCAATCCTAAGATAAAGTAGATGAAGAACTAATTAAGTAGCCCTAACAACAACAAAAATTTAGCAAACCATGAATCAACCTTTGAAGAACCCTAAATCTAACAAGAGAACTACTCAGACATATTCATAAGAAACATTATGATGGTCTGAATAATATTGTAATAGAATAATAAAAAGACAAAGTAGAGTAAAGGAACAAAGGGAGTTCAAGATCTTCCCTCTCTCAAGGTGTTCAAAGATGGGAAAAATCTAACGGTGGGAAGGTCTCCATCCATAGATAAACTCTAATACGTCTGTGCAGTTATGCACTCAAAGGGCTCCAAAAGACACCAAAATCACCACATTTCTCCAGAACGTATCTGAACCTGTAAATATTCAAAAAGGACTCCAAAACATAATAATTATATCTTAAAACACTTATATACCATGGCTGAAAGTGGGTAAAATCCATGGTATATCATGTATAAATAAGGCATGTTATATTTAATGGAAAATGTATAAATCATTTGATTAAGATGAATTACTTGGAATGACCCAAATTGATCTTAAAATGACTATAATGACTCATATAAAATTTTAAATACTAGACCCTATTTTGTAACAAGCAAATGGACTAAAATACCCTTTTAATGTGTGCAATCCAAAAAAAAAGTTTACTAGGAAAAAAAAACATTAAACATAAAAGAGAAAATAAATTAGATTCAACATAAAAGAGAAAAATAAAATTGTTTCTCGGATCTATCTCTCTTTCTCGCACGACAACGACGATTTCGAAGGGGGGGGGGATTCTTCGATCGAGTCTCGTCGTCGTTCCTCTCTCACTCCGACACCATCGCCTCTGTCAGAAGTCCATCTCGTCGTCTTTGTCTCTTACGTCGCATCTTTCCACAGACGAGAATGATGTGATCCATTGTTCTGTAAACAGAAAGAATGGAAGAAAGTGTTCAAACCACCATGAAAGGAACAACTTGAGAAAGAAGAAAAGAGGGGTGAAAGAGATGACGACAGTTACTAAAAAAATAATTAGCCCTAATTGTGGTCTTAAACCACTAGAAATAAACCAAAATCGAATTAATTGGAGTAAACCGGGATTNAGGAAGAATAGATTTTCTATACAAATCGGTCATAACTCAACAAGTCTGCCTTTCGAAAATAAGTCGATCGCACAAATCTGTGGTTTGATACAAATCTGTTGTGTCATCCGACAGACATATTTAAGAAATCGTTTTTTTAATACAAATCAGACAAAATATAGACAAATCTGTTGTGTCATACGATAGACATTTTTAACAATTCTGTTGTACGGCAGGGGTAGTTCTGACCACGAAAACATTCTAATAATTTGAAAAAAAATATGAGTCATTCTAGTAATATCACCATAAATTTGAGTCATTCTAATTTTCTTCCCTTTGATTAATATTAGACTTTAAGATTTGTTATAATTTCAGTGGCAGAAATTGTACTATTCATAGATAGATAAAGGTTATTTTATAAGTTTACTTCAGTTATAATAGAATCTTTTATACTATAAAGCAGAAGTCAATTAGCAATTTTACAAGCGACACGTGGCATTTAAAAAAATTAAACTGTTTTTCTCTGAATTGTAAGAAAAAAACTCCGTTCGATCAAAATGTTTTCAGTCTGTTTTTAAAAATTTTATATTATACTTTTTTACTTTTTTTCCAGCAAAACTGTTTTTGCACTAACTCCATTGTTCCACGATCCCACATTTTATGCATGTAAATGAACTGATAACTCCACTTTAAAAGATTGAAAAAATTGTAACTGATTTGTTTCAAAGTAAAAATTGGAATATTGCTGGATAAAGAGGCAGAACAAGAAGACACCAAACTCCTCCGGGTCAAACTCTTATGGCGATCAAATGTCTCTCAAATGCGTCCAAGTAAAAGTGTATAGGTATCTCTATATTCATCCAAATGGTATTCTATGGTCTTCATATAATTTCAGGTTTATTTATTTGGAGGTTTTTATCTTCTTTTTTTATGGGAAAAATCAGACAATTTTAAGCTTTGTCCGGCACACTAATACTGATGACCATCACAAGAAACATGTTATTTGAAAATATTTGTTAATCAACAAATTCATT